ACTGGAATATTTGTGCTGTTTTTGTTCTTTTATTGTAAACTATAACATATCTGCAGGAATGGAAATTAGTTTTATTTTCTGAGTGCTCTGCTGAAATGCACATAATTTTCAATTCAAACCATATTACATGCATTTTAAAAAGAATTAGAAAAAAACACTGGTGTGTTTGTGCAGTGTAATATTTTTTAAACCAGAGTAATGAAGAAACATTTCCTTGAAAAAAAAAAAAGTTCTTTGTTTATATAAATCAGGGAAATGCCAACGACCTTACCAGCTCTTGGAGATTCATAGTACACGTTAGTACATCAAAAAATCTGAGTATTTCAGCCATAAGAAAGGATGAAATACTGCCATTTGTGACAACATGGATAGATCTTGAGAGTATCATGCTAAGCAAAATAAATCAGATGGAAAAAAAACAAGAACCACATGATTTCATTCATCTGTGGGATATAAAACAGAAAGCAACAAGTGAACAAACAAAACAAACTCATAGACACAAAAAAAGAGTGGTGCTTCTCAGAGGGGGATCGGGCAGAGGGAAGAGGAACAGGGCAAAGGGGGCCAAGTTTATGGTGACAGAGGGAGACTAGACTTTGGGTGGTGAGAGCACAATGCAGAGTACAGGTAGATGATGTATTATAAAACTGTACACTTGAAACTTATATAGTGTTCCTAACCAATGTCACCCCCAATAAGTTGAATGCTCTGAGTATTTAACCCATTGTTTCCCAAACTTACTTGACCATAGAACTCTTTTTTTCCCTTTTTTATTGGACAAGTTCACAAAACACTAATGTTGTAAGAAAAACTCTTTAGGGAGCATTGCATAAAGAAAAAGCTTGAATAAGATAGTATTTCACTCAGTGTTTTAAAATTTCCTTCTAACATCCTTTCCAAATAATGACGAGACTGGTAATCTTTGTTGTTGCAGCTCACTCTGAGTTCCTCCTTGGTGTGGGGAGGCCTGAGAGAGAGCCGTGGGAGACCCGGGACGTCGTAAAACAGACACTGTGCTCTCTCACACACACAGTTTGGCTTTTCCAAATGCAGTTATTCAGTCTCGCCATTTTTAAAGATAAATTGTCTCAAAATGCTTAATGTTTTATGATGCTTCTTTAGTCTATTTTCAGTTAAAGAATAAAATAAATCTTTTCAATTCCACCACTTGCCTTCCTTTTCCTTATCTGTAGTTATGTCATTCATTTACAATCAGCCCCTCTGATGACTTTGGTTTTTTGCCCTCCTCACTCTTCAGTCCCTAAAATAAATTAACAATTGCCAAGTACATATATTGTAAATCTTGCAGAGATCGAATGCTTAGGAAAAAATTCCTCAGTACTTTAGTATAATCGTCATACTTCTCTCCTCTGCCCCTGGAGGTCACGGACGCAGCCTCTCTGCTGCAGGTTCTCACAGTATGTAACGGCCATCTTTCTACCATTGCCGCACTAACCTATTTCACTCAAATATCTGACCTATGCACTGTACCTAAAGGTTACTTCTGGTGTTCTTGGAGATGGGCAGATGTACAATAATTTGAGAATTATTGAGGATTGACATGTTCATCCTCATAATTCCAGGGAGGCTGGAAGGCAGACAGACTGTCCAGTGGTGGCTGCTTCCGAAGGCAGAAACGGGAGAACTGGCTGGAGTGTGGGCCCTGTGTGCCAGAGCTGGTCAGGTTTGGGAGAGGCAGTGAGGCCTCACCCGGCCCAGGGAGAGCATGTTGCTGTACAGCTTGCCATGTGAGCCCCTCCATGACCCTGTCTGTAACTTCAGAACACTTAAGAGAAGCCAGGCTAAGGTAGATTTCTTTCTTCAGGATTGCAAAGAGAAACATTAACAGCAAAGATAGTGAGAGAAAAGAGACTGAGAAGACCAGAGGGAATTAGGTTGTGAATTCATCGATATGATACAGGTCCTGAATTCTTTACACATGACGAAATTGGGGGTTTGGGCCAAGTTTACCTATAGGTGCACCCCAGTGGGGTCCCCGCATGATATCTGAGTTCCAGGTGATTTAAGCTGGATCAGTCCACAGAATGAAAAGAAATAGATTCAGACCACAGCTTCGCTTCTGGTATGAAAGAACAAAAGCTGTGAAGGTGTTTGAGTAATTTTGCCAAAAGCAAGCAGCACTATTACATGCCTGGATAAAGTTTCTTAACAGTAGATTGGAATAAACTTAAGTGGAGCCTCATCTTTGTATGAATGAGAGGACAGGTGCTAATTGTCTCTGTTTGGAAAAGGCTTAATAGGAGGGGAGTGAAGGGAGAAAGGCGTTTGCAATGCTGTGTCAGTTACCTTCCTGCCAGCAGTTGCTTGAAGTGGCAAAAACATGCCCAGTTTATTCAGGATCCTTGGTTCCTTTTTTTGTTGTTAACCCTCCTTTTAGTGTTTGGATTATTCTGCTGACAATGGGAGCAAAAACCGGCAGCTGCCCTCAAAGCCCTGCGTACAGGGAGAATGTGTTTGTGCGTGTCATTTGCACACAGAAGTTATTAGGAGGCCTGCGGGAGGCTCTTTTGTTCCTTTAACACATTTGTACCCGGGGGCACTTGAGAAAACCCGTTTCTGGTGGGATCTTAAGTACCCTTTATCCTTTCATTAAGTAATAGTTATTTTTAAAATATACTACAAATTAGATACCTCATGACCAGGTCTCTATTTGAAAAGCAAATGAATATGAACATTTATGTGAAGAATAAAGTGAAAATCAGTCCACAAAAAATTTGAGATTTATTTTTAAGATGGCATGCTTTTTGGTTTCTCCTTTACTTTTGGAGATCTGGATTATATGCAGTTAAGAAACCCGTTGAAAATTTGATTTGGGTATGTAACTACCACTTTATTTGTGGGTGGTCTTGCTAACAGGCGAGACTGCCTGTGTCACAGAGCAGTCATCACCAGCCACCGTTTCTTGTTGCTGGTGATGCCCAGGAGGTCCTGCTTCAGGTACTGAAAGGCACAGGAAGAGGGGGACGCACATACTGAGGAGGGTGGTGGGGGTGGGGGGGGGGCAGCCTGTCCTGTACTCGCTTTGTCGTAATCATTGATCTTGATAACAATGCACTCACAAGCAAAACTGTTGTAAAGTACACGGCCTCTAAATTATATTTTTGGATAATCCAGTGACCTTAAAACACTCACCTGCTATGGTAAGAAACGCTTAAAGGTAGTTGCCTCTCTGGATGGGGCCTGGAGACAGTGGTTATCATTGTGTGTCTGGTTTGGTAACTTTTGGTGTTTGTACCGTCAGTGTGTGTGTACTGCATGCTTAAAAAGAGAAAGTCAAAGGGAGAAAGGGCCCTCTGCGCACTCCCATCTGCTGACGGGAGGCCTGCTTTCCTGCCCCGCCCTGTGGCCCTCGTGTGATTTCCCCTGAGCTCCTTTTCCCAGCGCTCCCCCAGTTTCTTTTACTTTCGAGGACAACACTTTCTGCATTCATTGACTTTTCTTCCTCACCTCTAGTTTTGTACTCCCCACCCCTTTCATGAATGTCACTGAAGATTTCTCACCGTGAAATGCAGTAACCTCTTCTGAAACCCTGCTTGACCTTTCCGGGTCACTTGAGACTTGTGCTCTCCTCCTGGCCTCCCTGACCGTCGCCTCCTGGTCCAGTTTGACCTCTCTCATCTCTGCTGTGATTCGACCTTTCTTCACTCTGTGCTCTCTTTCTGAGCAATTTTTTTATGTACTCTTGGGTGAAATCATCTGTGTCAGCAGATACGACATGGCTTCAGCTCTGCTCCTGAGTGTTTCCTGGCCAATGAGGCATGGTTAGTTCTCAGTTCGACGGGCATCTCAAAATCAAAGTAGCCTGAACTTACTGTCCATTCCATCGCCATCCAAATCCCCATTTCCCCCACTTGCTGTATTTTACTACTTCGCAGCACCCAAGCCAGAAACCTGGGAATTGTCCCGAGTCCTTCCTCCACTTCGCAAGGTTTTGGAATTACAGGTTGCCATGCTGTAACATGCATATGTTGGCTCTGTTTTCATCACACCCTTTCAGTTTTACAAACTGACTTCTAAATTGGGCCTCATTCCAGATGGACTTAGGAGAAATTTCATGCATGTAAATATTCTGTCCTTATTAAAAGTAGCGGAGATAGGAAGGTATTTTAATTATTCCTCTGCATTGACAATCTTGTTTATAAAGCCATAGCAACCTCATTCCAGGGGCATTTATGCAATTGAGACATGAGCTTGGTTTTTATTTGAAACTAAATTAGCAATTATATAACTTCACAGAGCTTGTGGCTTATTATTTTAGTGCTTATGTTGTTTTCCTACTCAGTCATTTAAAAACATAAATGGGTATCTTCTCCTGTACAGTTTGAATTACCTCTATCATTAGCTTTGTTTCTTATGTACTAAATATAGATAATTAGGTAACCACCAGATTAAAATGATAGTTAAAATTTATTATATACTTATTACATGATATTTTATATATGCCATTTTATTTAATTTAATTCACCCAGTAACTTGATGCAGAATCAGACATTATTTAACTTGCCCAGATTGTACTGCTGTGCTGGTTGTTTCTCCCTGTGACCCTCTTGAGATTCATTACATACCAATTTAAGTGTGGCCTGATATTCCTGAAAGTAATACATTTGTGGGCATCTCCATTTTATTGGGAGTTGATCTGCACATGGTCAATACTTTCCTGTTTCGGTGGCCATTTGGGACTGAAGCGTTTGTGGTACTTCAGTACCATCCCCAGGTTACTCATGATCATGGGTGCTGCCGGAGTAGGTAGTAAAGGTCATGGCATTAAGATTTGCATGGAACTGATATTGTAACTGTAATTAAAGTTTTAAAGCAAGCTACCAAAAATAGCTTCCAAGAGATCATTTTTCTTTGTTTCAAGTATTAACAATAAATTGTCTGTTTCCTCAAACTTTTGTTGCCTAGAAGAGAATTCAGGTGGCTGTCCTCTGAAGCAGGTTGTGGTCGGTAATTCACATTTTCTCTGTCTTCTCTCTCAGTGCAATGAGACCTCTTTCTTCTTTGAAGCCCAAAGTAAAACTGCGTGCAAGCACCTTTGGAAGTGCAGTGTGGAACATCATACGTTTTTTCGGTATGTTAATGTGAAAGTTTTGTTCATTGTTCTAAAAAGTGAAAATCACATTTGCTTTTAAAACAAGAATTCTGTTCTATCTGTAAGTAGAAACTTAGAAGCTTTTCTCTTTTATTTTTTTCCAGTCACCTAATTCTCTTGATCACATTAATACAAATAGGTATATATGCCCTCACATACATACACATAGATACCTTCTTTGCTTTCTTTGCTCACATTATATGAAAAGGCCAAGGACATGATGATGATGATGATGATGATGATGATGTGTATGGAAACAGCGTAGCTTTGGTATTTGTGGAAATTGTGTTCTGCTGTGGACATGCTAACTTTGTCACCCAAGTGGAGATGTTGGATGTATAAGGCTTATGAGAAAGACCAAGGTTGGCAACGTAAATGTAGTTAGGGTTTAAGCAAAGAGGGCTGGAGGAGGTCACCTGTGGAAAAAATGAAGAGAGAAGCAGAAAGCCAAGGACAGAGCGGTGGGACCCTGCCAGCATGTCAAGGGTAGGAAGAGCCAGCCATGGGTTGGAAGAAGGAGTAAGCCAGGAAGGTGCTCAGGAAAACAGAGAGTGAGGGAGGCAGATGTGGTGAATGGGGAGCTGGCAGCCCTCTTGCTTGCTGTGCCCCTGGGAAGTGAAGGTGAGGGAAGAGAATTGACCATTGGATTGTGGGAACAATTTTTGTTCATGTTACATCCTTACGGTGTAAAGATACAACTAAATTTTATTAGGTACTACATTAAGCCTTATTTGTGTTTTTAATTTTAAAACTAGATGAGTTCTTTCACTTATTCCTGGTTGATTTACGTGGAACACTTTCCCCAAATAGCTTGATATGGGCAAAGTATTCTTATAAAATGACCAATATCCTTTATAGAGTTTGTATTAGGAGAAGGACGTTTCCCAGAAAACCTGAGACATGACTTCTAGTTGAGTGGGCTGGGTGGAGGAGTGTGTCTGTTGAAGGTGCCCCAGAATGGGAAGTGCTGGACCACATGGTTCAATGAGACTGAACCACCACATCAGGTGTGATTAACTGCCATGACCACCTTGGCTTGGCCAAACCAACATAGTGACAAAGTTCCCAAGGTTACTTAAGTAGAGAGAATAATTTGATTCACAACTAAAGCTTCTGACAACAGTAATTCTTTAGGAAGTATGAGTATTTTGGTATTAGACATATATAAATTCCTAGAATGTGGTTGTGTTTCAACTATTAGCTTGTAATAACTGATTATTATTTCCTGCCAATATCGAATAAATCAGATATTTTGATTATCTGTTAAAGTATTACATTATTATATTTTCTACATAGTTTTTGATCAAATATTGCATAAGTATCTGTATTTGTGAGTCTTTATTTAATTTTATTTTAAAAATTCATCAGGATGCCAGAAAATGAATCAAATTCATTGTCAAGAAAACTCAGCAAGTTTGGATCCCTGAGTAATAAGCACCGGTATAGGTAAATGGCATCTTTTCCTTGGGGAGTATATGTGAATACATAAATATTTAACTTAGCTGTCCACATACATATACATTCCAGGTTCTGAAAATTTTTTCTATAATACCCATGAATTTCATAAGCATAATAGTGTATTTAAACTTTCTGACAAAAAAATAGTTTTTCAGGTTTTATTTAATGTCTGCATTAGCTATATTAAGTTTAGGACTTTTAGGATGTACTAGAGCTTATCTTCAGAAATGTACTTTGATGCATATTTGACTTATTTCTATGTTGTGATTATGAAACAAAGTAGATATTTTGAATGTCGCTTCGAAGAATTTCAGTTCTTAGGACGTTCTGTTGACTCCGGGTTGTAAGACCGTGTTTATGTTACACTGTGGATCAAATCATGCTTTCTGCAGCAGAAATCCTACATGTAGTAATGCTACCAATTATACCTAAATTTCATCAAGCAGTTGCTAAGTGCCATGTAGTATGCTAAATGTTTTCCATTTATTATTTCATTTAATCATCACAGTTTTCTTAATATTATCCTCATAATATGTGAGGAAACTGAGGCTAAGCAACGCCGAGTCACTTCTCAAGGGAAGCCAGCTGGCAAGCAGTGACGTGGGGCTCCTGCGCTGGCAGCCTGACCACACAGCCTGGGCTTTTGTCCATCAGGCAGCCTGTTAGCGTGTTGCAGGGGAAGCCTGACTGTGGTTGTCAGGAATCACAGTGGGATTGTCTGGGCACATGCTTGTGTCTTTTTCTAATACACAAAAATGGGGCCTTCTCTGTTCTGAAAAAGAATTGTTTTGTTTGAACTCCTTTTGTTAAGTGGAGAGCCCGTGGTGGGCAAGACATGGCATTGGGTGCCTAGAGATACCAAGATTCAGACCGAACCACCTCTGCCTCAGAGAGTGACAGCATGAGGCGGGTTCCAGGCCCCGTAACTCCCGAGCAGGGTACAGATGTGCTGCTCAGGATGTGGGACACTCTTCTGTCAGTCCCGCTGGAGACATTGCTGAAGGAGACCTTACCTAGGGGGCTTGAAAATAAAGCTGAGTCAAGGACAAGGGTATGCCAGATTCTGATTCCTCTCTTTTATAAACCACTTTTTTGGTTTTGAATTTGAAACCACAGATAATCAATAACAGAGTGCTTAATATTAAATGTTTGCTGCATTCATCGTTACATATTACTTACTTGGATATTTTGCCCATTTGATGACTTAAATAAAACTTAAATTATTGTATTATAGGTGTTCTCAGTGTTTGGTATTCACCACTATATAAAAATTTAGCTTTTAGGTTATTGAGGTTCTTTCCCAGACAGTGATACAATCATCAGGAATTTAAGGGAAGAGTATATACTTTTCTACTGAGGACAGCTAATAGTCACCATTTTGGCTGTTCTTCCACTTATGGTGTGAACATTTCAAGGGTTATAAGGAAAATGTATAACTCTATCTCTGTGTTCCTACTATTAAAATTGTAATTATGCTGTTTAACATATGCTGTAGTTGGTTTCCTCAAATTTACTTATACCTGATTTCTCAAATTTATTGAAATGCAAATGTGTAGCTACTGGGAATTATTATTATTGGATTTTGCATATTAAATATCATTTCTTCCAAGAAAGTAATTAAAAGTAACCTTTGCAGAATCGGAAGCTCTCCTAAATCTGTTCTAATTTGGTGTCTGGTCTTAACTGCCTAGTAAGTCTTAATGAAACCCAAATCTCCAAGTCTGTCTGCAGAAAGCACCAACATTACAACATCCCTGGAAGAAATGTTTCATCCCACTGCCCAGAGCTATGCTTGGGGAGGGGTGGGTCTCTGACTGCTGGGTGACCCCCAGCACGTAGACTGTTAATTGTCAGAGGAGGAAAGATAACCAGCCTTTAACAAATACCTCACACCCACCACTTTCTTGAGATGTTCTGTAGATCTGGTGGAATGAAGCTCTGCAGACCCAGAGGGCCTCCTTCTTTACCCTGCAGGCTGTAGAGACGGGGGGATAAAGATCAGCATACCAAGTGCAGCTGTGCGGCTGTGGGAGTATCTGTGTTTGCACAATGTCTCTGTAGGTGTGTGTGTGCCAGGTAGGAAATCAGAGTTCTCGCCTTTGCCCCTTTCCTGCATCTTTGGACTTCCAGAATACCAAGGACATTTCAGCATCTTTTAGAAAAATTGGTCATTACTTAAGAATGGAAAAATCAGACCCTTTTAGTAATGTGTGACAGCCAATCTTTTCCAAAATTCCAAATTAAATTTATGGGGAAAGGCTGAGCTGAAATCTGACAATCTAATTCTTTTGTTGTTGTTTTATTATCAGACACCAATAATCTGAAATAGAAGTTGATCAAATACTTGATTAAAATATTTTATTATACACTGATACCTCCTTTTCTGAATCCCTTAAAATTAACTTTTTTTTACCTCTTGTTAAGTTTGTAGGGGACTCCTAGTTTTGATGAGTGAATGAGTTATGTAGAATATATATTCCAGCAATGGGTGGGTCCAAGAAACACCCTTGAGAACCCAGACCACCTTCTTGTAGGACTGAAATCACACGAACTCTCCACATTTCTTAAAGCGTGGAAGACAGAACAAGTTCTCGTGAGAACCACCTGTGTGTCAGGTGTTTTCACGTGTGTTACTTTATTCGGTCCACTCAGTGGCCCATGAAAGGAGATAACCATATCCTCACTTACACAGATGAGAAATTTGAGCCCCTGACCCCAAAGTAAACTAACAAATAAAGACCTTTAACCAGTAAGTGGCAAAGCTAAGATTTGAAGACAGATGTCTCTATTCTTGTTCTCTTTCTGCTACCCCACTGATTGCCGATTGTGCCCCCGACCTTGGGGCTGAAAAAGGCCACTTGTCATAGAATGTGTGTGCCTGAGTGAGAGGAGGGAGGGAAGTGGGTGATCATGGGAATAAACCTGTCCTCTCACTACAAACAGTCACCAGGCACTGGAAATCTCTCTAGTTATCAAATACTTTCTGCTACGAGGAAATAGTAAGAAAACTGCACAAGAACATTTCTGCTAGGAAATAGTAAGAACAAGTAGAATATGTTATAAATAATGAAAACAAGGCTCCAGGAGATTTAGAAAACAACCTGTTGAAGACCACGTAGAGCTGTAACAGAGCTATGTTTCGTAGACTGGGCTTGCAACTTCAAACCCAGTGGCTGAGTGCTCCCCTCTGTTGCCCACTCTGCCAGGCTGCGTGCGCCACGCCGACCAGCTGGAGGTCAGGAAGCTTGTTCTAGTCCTGGGTCTCACACAGCCTGTGGCAGATCAGTTTATGTTCCTGGTCCATAGTTTTATTAATCTTGTGATATGATCTTGTCATTTCTCTTTTATTCCTGGGAGAGAAACCACAAGGAAAAATTGAATAACATAAAATCTTATTATAAAATGCCTCAGTGGTCCACTTAATGGGTTATACTTTTTAGGGCAAATTATTTTTTCTTCTGTGCAATAATGTACATAGTACCTAAGTATTACTGCTGAGAAATTCTCTGGAAAGTATTTATAATAATGGAATTTTGCTCTCTGTATGGATTTAAAATTTTTTAACTATATTTCATTGATTATGCTATTACAGTTGTCCAATTTTTTTCTTCCCCTTTATCCTCCTCCATCCTGAAACCTCCTCCCTCCAGCATTGCCTGCCCCCTCTTAGTTCATGTCCATGGGTCGTACATACAAATTTTTTGGCTTCTTCATTTCCTATATTATTTCTAGCTTCTCCCTATTTTGTATCTACCATTTATGCTTCTTATTCCCTGTACCTTTTCCCCCATTCACTCCCCCTCCTGCTGATAATCCTCCAAGTGATCTCTATTTCTGTGATTCTGTTCCTGTTCTAGTTGTTTGCTTAGCTTGCTTTTGTTTTTTAGGTTCAGTTGTTGATAGTTGTGAGTTTGTTGTCATTTTCCTGTTCATATTTTTTGATCTTCTTCTATTTCTTAGATAAGTCTCTTTAACATTTCATATAGTAAGGGCTTGGTGATGATGAACTTCTTTAACTTGACCTTATCTGGGAAGCACTTTGTCAGCCCTCCAGTTCTAAATGATAGCTTTGCTGGATGGAGTATGTTGGTTGTAGGTCCTTGCCTTTCATGACTTTGAATCCTTCTTTCCAGCCCCTTCTTGCCTGCAAGGCTTCTTTTGAGAAATCAGCTGCTAGTCTTATGGGAAGTCCTTTGTAGGAAACTCTCTACTTTTCTCTTGGTGCTTTTAATATTCTCTCCTTGTCTTAAATCTTGGGTAATTTAACTATGACATGTCTTGGTGTGGTCTTCCTTGGGTCTAACTTCTTAGGGATTCTCTGGGCTTCTTAGACTTGCATATCTATTTCCTTAGCCAGCTTGGGGAAGTTTTTCTTCATTGCTTTTCCAGATAACTTTTCAATTTCTTGCTCTTCCTCTTCTTCTTCTGGCACCCCTATGATATGCATGTTGGAACAGTTAAAGTTGTCCCAGAGGTTCCTTAGCCTCTCCTCATTTTTTTGAATTCTTGTGTCTTCATTCTGCTCTGGTTGAATGTTTATTTCTTCTGTCTTCCAAATCGTTGATTTGATTCCCAGTTTCCTTCCCTTTACTGTTGGTTTCTTGCATATTTCACTTTGCACAGCCTTTAATTTTTCCTCTATTTTGTGTCCATACTCAATAATTTCTGTGAGCATCCTGATTACCAGTGTTTTGAACTCTGCATCTGATAGGTTGACTATCTCTTTGTCACTTAGTTCTTTTTCTGGAGGTTTGATCTGTTCTTTCATTTGGGCCATTTTTCTTTGCCTTGGCACACCTGTTACATTATAAGGGTCAGGGTCTTAGGTATTTGCCAGGGTGGGACTTCTTACTTCATTGTATTGTGGTGTTGTATATGTGGGAGGGGTCTGAGAGGGAACAATGCCACTTGCTCAGCTCTTGCTCCACTTTCAGTCACTTCTCCATTACCCACAAGTGAATTGGTCCCTTCTGGTGCTGATTCGCATGGGTGGGTTTGTGTACATTCTAGGACCCCAGGGGTCCTTCTAATGGACTCTCCTGTGAAACTGGGACTTCCTCTTACCGCCACAACCCCCACAGGTTTTTATAGCCAGAGGTTTTGAGGCTTTATTTCCCTGTGCTAGAACCCTGGGTTGTGTGATCTATCTCACTCCCCAGTTGTTCCTCCTGGTTTATCTGCATGCAAATGTGGGACCATGCGGTCTGCCAGCCACTGCCTTGACAGCATATCCTTTCTGCCCTAGCTGCCCTTCTCTGTTCCTCCTCCCAGTCTGGATGAATGTTTCTTTAACTCCTAGGTTGTCAGACTTCCATACAGCTTGATTTTCTGGCAGTTCTGGTTGTTTTTTTGTTTTTAAATTGGTTGTCCTTTTGGTTGTACTGGGAAGCAAAGCGTATCTGCCTATGCCTCCATCTTGGCTGGAAGTTCCTGCATTTTTTTTTTTTTATCTTTTCAGGAGAGAGGTGTTGCTATTTGTATTACCTTATATACTACCTTTAAAAAAATAGTTAAATTTCAAATTGAAGAAAACATATCCCAGTTTGCTTCCCTGGTTCTCATGAATTATTGAATACAAAGTGTACTCAGGGATGGAATCTGATATCTCAATTTATGGTAACTCATATCAAGTGGTATGCCGAGTTAGTTTGACAAGAAGACACTTTTTATGAGTGTTTCAAGCATTTAAAGAAAATTTTTAAAGATATTTTTTACTTACTTATTTATTTTTAGTGAGAGGGGAAAGGAGGGAGAAAGAGAGGTAGATGAAACATCAATGTGTGGTTACGTCTTGCACACACTCTACTGGGGACCTGGCCTGCAACCCAGGCATGTGCCCTGACTGGGAATCTCACCGGCAACCCTTTGGTTCACGGGCTGGTCCTCAATCCGCTGAGCCATACCAGCCAGGGCCATTTTTAAAAATTTCTCATAAAGATGGATGGGTTAGTGAGGTGGGGAAACTTTTACTGAGGCATGTAGGAGGTGAATTTTGCTGTATCAATGTCATTTGGGAGAGATTCACCTATGTTTATTCTGTAAATGTAGGGTCAGTAGGATTTGGTGCCATTAAAAGGCTTTTCGTTGATGTCTCTTCCTGAGGTGAATCAAACTGGATGAATGGAAATGCAATTTTTGCACCTAAGTACAAAAAGGGTGAAAGTCAGGGTCATTCATTGGCTTAAATTTAGCAGCTGTGGACTCTGTTTTCTGTAGGATGAATTCTGAAATCCAGCAAATGAAATTGCACAATTCTTTGAGATTCTTTGAGATTTGAAATTCTTTGTAATTTCAAATTCTTTGAAGTTACACAAAGCTCACCCTGGCAAATCCTCAGACCCTTCAGAGAAGCAGGGCTGTGCACAGGTTTTTAGGCCTGTTATAAATCTTCTGGGCACCTGATCCAGCACAGGTGAGGCAGGATAATAAACAGTTGATTGTGCCGTAGCAGGGTGACAGTGGACCACACAGTGGTCCTGCGGGGAGGCTCTACAACTTGCCGTGCAAGTCCAATGTGGGGTCGTGCTGACTCGTGCAGAGTCATTACCCTCATGTAATTCAGCCCAGTATAATTTCTTCATTATTTTGTGGTAGAGCTGGAAGGCGATCAGCATTCTTTATTTCCAGCTCATCATTCTGCTTAGACCTTACTCCTTTAATAAACCCCCTTTCCCTGTTTCTTCTCCTGAAAGATATTCCTTCTATGTAACCTAAATGTTTCCTATTGGAAGTTAATGCTACTCTACTTCTTGGTAGTGAGAATCAGTTGGAAACCCATATATGCTTACAGCCTGTGTGAGTGTGTGTTTTTTCTTCTTTTCTTGCTTTGCAGATATTTTGAATGAGCTGTTGTTTAATTTTGTGGCTACATGGTTTTACCTGTGTTAACCAAAATGTTGCATTTTCAAGTGGCAGGACAGCATTGCAAATGAGCCGAGATCTTTCTATTCAACTTCCCCGCCCAGATCAGAATGTGGCAAGAAGCAGAAGCAAGACTTATCCCAAGAGAATAGCACAAACACAGCCAGCGGGTAAGTCACTGATGTGAACTTGCATTTCCTTTTTGATTGGTGTGGTGTAAGGTATGTTCAGGTAGTGACTGTAGCCCAATAGTTTTTTTTATTATTATTTATACTAGAATTTTTAATTCGACCCTGAAATTCTCTAAGCAATCAAAACTTATTAGTAAGTGGACTAGTAGTCTACTTGAATCACCATAACCTGCTTAATGACTATACTTTCTTTTTGAAGATATTAAAATTTCGAGTTGAGTGTATCTGAAATTGGAATGGAAACAAACTCTTAGAAAAAGTCTTCTAAAAAACCAACACTATTGATATAATCTATACTTATTTTTTGTTATTGTTTTTATTTTGTGAAATATACATATAGAAAAATGTATATTTTTCTACAAACTTAACATTGCTGTAAGCCAAGAAGTCCTTCGTACTTGCCTGTTCACATCTTTACCATACCATCTCTTCTCAACCATAAAAAAAACACTATCTGATTCTGTGATAATTATTTCCTTACCTTTTGTTATAATTTTACTACTTTTGTAGCTTTCTCTGAGCTAAGTAATTTATTCTGTCTGTTTTTAATGTTATGTGAGTCAGTTATGGCCTGTGTTCTTTTGTCTTGCCTCTATCAATGTTATATGTGGTATATGATAAAATACATTCATTTTTCTTGCTACAAGTATTCTAATATATGACAGTTTCTTTATTCATTATACTGTTGATGGACATTTGGGTTTTTCATATTTTTTTTGGTTTGTAATACAAACTATTTCTTTAATAAAATCTATCAGTTTTAATCCCTGTTCAATGTTCAGAGCTCAGAGAATTTTACTGACTTTAGTTGTGGCTTGCTTACAGATCACCCTTGTCTGACACTCTCCACCAACTTTTCACATGTTTTCTCTCACCTGAGCCTCACAATAACCCGGAGGTAGGGCAGGGCAAGGAGTATATCCCCATTTTGCAGATCAGGAAGACACGATCCAGCAACCAGATAGTGGTGGGGCTGGGATGAGAGCCTGGGTCTCCTGAGTCATTTTGCTCTATAGTAATTGTGTGAAATGAATGGAATTTTTAACCACAATGTTTCACATCTGAACACTGAGTACAATTGACACAGCATATGACATCCGTTGTTGCATTTACTTCTCAGGCCAGGGCCATGAAGGAAGTGTTTGAGTTTGCTCCTCTGCTGCTGGCTGTGAGAGTGTCACTTGTTTCTAAAACCAAATTACCTCTGATTCCTGTCACTGGGCTGGGAGGAAATTACATTCTTTCTGATGGGCCTATAGTGGCAAGAAAGAAGACACGATTTCATTTTGCAATAGATTACCTTACTACCTAAGTATCATTATCTCAGTTGGGTGATGAGGAAACTGAGATTTAAAAAGGTAATTTGGTTGAGATTATAGAATAAGCAAGTAGCTCAGGACAAACATTTTAGCCTTAATATTTGCTATCTTTGTCTTAATTTTTTGTATTTATTTTTGTGTATAGCAATCTTTAATTTCATTTAGATCAAGTCCAGTGTGGTATAATCAATAAGCAAACTTTCAAATCCTGTGCTATTTCTGAAATGCCATGCCTCATGAAATTATCCTGAGACCAGCTGAGAGTATCAAAAGCATTCCTTGCTTTAAGTCAATGTTTTATTCCACGTGAGATTCGGGAATGATTACATATGCTTATTATACAAACCTGCTCCGGTTGCTCTTTTCCTTCTCATATGTTCTTATAAAAACATCTGCCTCTGTAACACTTTTTTTAAACTCTTTTTGGAAGCCCAAATTCTAGAAGCTGATTAATTTAGGGACAAGAGGGTTTTTGTTTTGTTTTGTTTTGTTTTGATTTTCTCATGGCTTATGCAGATCCAGTGAAACACAGTTTTCACAAAGCAACCCGGGACAGTTGGAGCCCTCACATCTACCTCCCACCCTAAGCCCCACCTCCTTGTGTCCCATTGGAACTCCCTCCCTCTGTGGGAGGGGAGGAGGATGTGGCTAGTGCTCAGCCCAGGCTTCTCTAGTGCAGACTCTCAGCATCAGGTGGATCTTTCAAAAATGGAGCACAGGTTATGCTTTTATTATTATAAAATACCTGCTTGCTTTAGAAAGTTTAGGAAACTTAGAGCCTTCTCTCCGAAAAAGAAAAAAATTTTCATATTCAATTCCATTATCATAGAACTAACACTATGTTATATATATTGTCTTCTACTCATTTGTATATCTTTTCTGCAAAAGTTATATAGTAATGTTTTACAACTTACTTTCCTTATTGAATAATATATCATGGATATGTTGTAATAAATTTTTAAATGTTCTTGCACAGCACCATTTTAAGAATTGTGTAATTTTCTCCTGAATAGATGTATAGACTTGACATAATTTATTCAACCAATTTTTAGTTCGTGAATATTGAAGCAGCTTCAAATTTAGAAGACTATAAATATAAATAATGTGAATGTCCTTGTAGTAATACCTTTAAACATTCATGCTGATTTATTATACATATCTTAAATAATGGTTTATTTTCATCAGTTTTATTTTTAATAGAGGATTAAATAATGCTGTGTTTAAAAACTAAGGCTTTGCTGTGCATACATTTTATTTTGATTTAAATTACCTACAGCCTAACTTTTCAGGCCTATATGCCACAAAACTGTGATGTGTCCTGAGGACTCAGAGATGACCCTGCCCTTGGCGGTGCATGATTGTCCGGGGTGGGGAGGGACCTTCCAGCAAATGTCAGTGATGCAGTATTAACCGTTGCTGTCATGTGCATTTCTGTGAAGGATGTTGGGAGGCAGGGATTAATGTTCTGTTTCTTTAAATATTACATTTTCTCTTTCCTCTAATTTCCATGTGCTCTGCTTTGAACCTTAGCTGACTCCAGCCAATAGAAACTCAGTCTCAGCCATCTCCCACTCCTAAGGTCATGGTTAGGTTCTAACTTGGAGCAGAATATTTAAAGGGGGCCCTTTGTCTTCAACTACATCAGTCACCACTGAGTTTTTTGTCCCAGCCCACCTGGCCCCATGAAAGTGGGCAGTTCTATGTGAAGCTGGGCTGCTGCCTGTGAAGGAAGGGACTGTTTTCTGGTGAGCCTCCTAGGCTTAGGGTTGTCAGTCAGTGATTGTTGGTGAAATTCAGTGCTTTCAGGAATCCCCAATTTGGAGTGCATTGAAGAAGGAAGCTTTATTCAGTACAGACATCTCAGTTATGATGCAGCATGGCTGGATAGCTCAGTAGTGTTACAGCTCAATTATTAAACAGCAAGACTGTGGAACAGCACAGCTCTGAGGTACCCCTCACTCTGATGGGCCCTGCTCTGCTCCACTCTGCCCTGTCCTGCTCTGCTCTGGTCCAGTGAGTTGTCTTCAGTGTTTCAGCTCCAGCTTGGAAATGGGCTCTAGTCTTCAGTGAAAAGGGAAAGTTGCCCTTTCCTAGACAGAGGGAAGCTGACTTATGTATAGAGAAATACCTGCCCTAGTCCCTGATTGTTTTGTCCTCATGCAAATGAGGGCTCCAAATTTTTGCAGTTTGATTGGTCCAAAAACTACTGTTCTGATTGGTCAGAATGAAGCTGCTCTGATTGGTAGGTTAAGATACTGATGGGGACAGAGCTGTGCAGCTCCAATCGGACAGGGAAAACTGCAGTCCTATGGGTTGAAGTACAATTCCAGGAACTCCTTTAGAAGGGCTGGCTGAGATGGCAGGAACACAGTGCAGGCAGGCAGTTTAGTGCAGGCGTCTCCTTAAAGTGCAGTTTGTGTGAGAGGCCCCTGTATAGAAATGGCTGCTAGGTTCTGCTTTAAAAATTTGTGCCCAGTTAGCCACCAGGAGCCTTTCTTAGTAGGCATCTTCTTTCTCAGGGTCCACAGCTATTAGCCAGAAATCTCTACTGTGGTCACTTTGTGTAATGACCAAAGACCAATTGTAGCTGAGCAATTGTCTCAGCAAAGGTGAGACTGGAAAGGGAATTTGACTTAAGACTAAATAAAACAAAACAGAAGAACCTATACATTTGTAGTTCTAATAAATCAATCATTAGCTATTTATATTGGAATATTATCTAAAGGAACTAAGTAATGGTTAGGGTCAAGCCTGCCTAGAGAGACCATGCTCCAAGTCCCCCCCAAGGCTCTGCTGCAGAGTGGGGGTGGGGAGTGACCTGCAGGTCATTAGGTCACTGTAGCCCTTTGTCCCCTTCCCCAACCCCCAGGTAGCCCCTTCACCCCTGTCACTTCATCCTTGCACACTCTGAGCTCCAGAGCAGTCCCTCTCTGAAGCTCCCTATTCCTGGAATTCACTCATGGGTAGCTGAGCAGGAAAGGAATGATAGCTTTCTTTTCTTTAATTTTGACAATTAAAAAGGTAAAAAGAAGATTTGAAGAGATAGAAAAAATTTATTTAATTAGAATGTACTGTATTTGACAAATATGGAGTTGTGGTTTAAATAGAAGGTAAATTTTATTTGACTGTAGTAAGTCTACCTGTGAATTTTCATAGAGTGAATTCTGCTGGTATTCTCTCTAAAGTAAAATTTTAGAACTATAGTTTCAGGAGTTATCGGCATAAATGCTCACCTCTCATTTAACATTTATATAGAATAAAAAACAAGTTGTGCTAGAAAGGAGACTTGCTTTTTGTTAGTTTGTGTCATTAATTTCTCATGCATGACATGTGATTCCAGAAGACATTCTTTTATTTCTTCTGAAGTTAAAAAAATTCAGTCAAACTTGGTGACTGTTCTCTCTAAGTTTCCACTCAGTTCTTTGCAAATTAAAAAAAAAAAAAACAAAACAACCCTTTGTTTCACCTCTCAGTCAGGAATAATGAATGCCCTGGAAGCTAACAAGCCATTGTGTTTAGAATCTGCCAAGGTTAGGCCTTGGCACCACTCTGAGGAAGTGCATTCCAGAACCAAGAGCCCTGCACCTTGCCTGCCTGCTGCCCCACCCAGAGGAGTTCAGCGCCAGGGCAGGAGGCCAGAGCATGCCGGCAAATCTAAAT